ACCGTTGAGTTTTTATTATTGGGTTTTACTAAGGGTTTTCTGGTACACTTTGAGGGTGTACGTACTTCGCAAACAGCAAAAAATTTGTTATCAGCTCTTGGAAATCCTGAAGTGGTTGATGCTAAACTTGGGAAGGAGTTAGCGGCCCATCAGCTTGCGGGCCCTTTCTTATCCCCTCCACTGTCCCCATTTCGGATATCCCCTTTGGGCATTGTACCAAAGAAAGTTCCTGGTGAATTTAGGTTAATCCACCACTTGTCCTTTCCTAAAGGTTCATCAGTTAATGAGTGCATATCCCCTGAGCACACTAGTGTTCGATATGCTACCATCGACGAAGCTATCAAACTGATTATGAATGCTGGCCAAGGCTGTTTTTTGGCTAAGACAGACATTAAAAACGCTTTTCGAATCATCCCAATTCACCCCATTGATTATGGTCTGTTAGGTATGCAGTGGAGGGGTTTATATTACTATGACCGATGCATGCCCATGGGCTGTTCTTCTTCTTGTTTAACATTCGAAACATTCAGTACAGCGGTGGAATGGATTGCCCGGCATAAGTTAAAGATAGATTATATATTACACCTGCTCGATGATTTTCTTTTAATAACTTCCTCCTCTCAACTTTGTAAGAAGCAGCTAGATTTATTTTTATCTCTCTGTTCCTACCTCGGTATCCCAATGGCACCAGAGAAGACTTGTGGTCCGGCCACCACCATGTCTTTTGCGGGCATTGAATTAGACTCTATTCTTTTGGAGGCTCGTTTACCTCTTGAAAAAGTTGAAAAATGTAAGTCACTCTTATCTCAGTTCCTTACTCGTAAGAAAGTTACCCTCCAGGAGGTACAGTCCCTAACTGGCCTTTTAAACTTTGCATGCTCAGTCATACAACCTGGACGGGCTTTTCTGCGTAGGCTTATTGACTTGACTCTGGGAGTCAAAAAGGCGAATCATAAGATTAGACTTAATAGAGAGGTAAAAGAGGATCTGAAGATATGGCTGTCTTTTTTATCCAATTTTAATGGGAAGTCGTTTTTCATGGAGGATAGATGGCTTCATTCTCCTAAATTGAACCTGTTCACAGATGCATCTGGTGCTATTGGTTTTGGCGCTATATTTGGACCACACTGGTGCTATGGTAAATGGCCTACCAATTGGGAGCATCTGAATATTGCCATTCTTGAGTTTTACCCCATTGTCCTAAGTCTGTACCTGTGGGGCGCGGCTATGAGCAATCAGTGTATCTTGTTTTTTACCGATAATGAATCCCTGGTCCACGTCATCAATAAGCAATCTTGTAAGGATAAGACCTTGATGGTCTTTGTCCGGCAACTTGTGTCCACATGTTTAAATCACAATATTGTTGTGTCCACATGTTTAAATCACAATATTGTTTTCAAAGCCAAGCACATCCCAGGGATTCATAACAACCTAGCTGATGCTCTGTCTCGCTTGCAGGTGCAGACTTTCAGACAGCTGGCCCCAGTTCATATGGACCCCTTCCCGACAGAGATTCCCTTGCATCTGCAGCCTCAGAGCTGGGTTCTGTAGTAGGCATGCTTGCGAAATCTAGCCTCCAGCCTTCTTCCATCCCCACCTATAGGCGAGCCTGGAAGTTGTTTTACCAGTTTTTAAATGCAATTTTTCACTCAGTTGTAACAGAGTTACCTATCTCACCCCATACCTTGGCTCTTTTTATTGCTTATATGTATGACAAAAACTATACACCATCAACAGTTAGTTCGTATGTTTCAGCCCTAGGGTACTCTCACAGATTGCTCAGTTTCCCTGATCCTACGAAAGCCTTTTTCATAATCCAAATGCTCAAAGGCTATACTAAATTAGGTTCCCGTTTGGATAGTCGACTGCCAATTACACTTCCAATTCTCCACAGAATTATTGAGGGTGCTATTTCCCAGTTGCACTGTTGTCAATTTCAAGCCATGTGTGCAATAGCCTTCTATGGTTTTTTACGGATTGGTGAAATTACTTCCAACACTCTTAAGAATGCTGTAGTTCCGTTACAGGTTTATCAATTGGTTAAGCTCATTGATACTTCACAACACGTTGTTGCTTTAAAGATTGTTTTTGGTAATTTCAAACACAATTACAACCAGCATCCATTTTCTATCGTTATATCCCAACAGGCTTCTGTTTGCCCTGTGCTATTGTTGCTAGACTATTTAGCTATTCGAGGTAATAGTCCAGGTCCTCTGTTTATGAATCAGGGTAACAGTCCAGTTTCTCGCAGTTTCTTCACAGACCTCCTAAATCGTTCATTACATACATGTGGGCTCAACCCTGCCCTTTACAAAGGTCATAGTTTTCGTATTGGGGCTGCCTCTTTTGCTGCAGATCGGGGAATGTCTGACGCACAGATCAGGGCATTGGGTCGGTGGAAATCTAACGCATTCCTTAAGTATATCAGGATACCTTCTATGTCAACATAAGTAATTTTAGTCTGTGCATTGCTTGCAGGGGAAGTAATGCACAGGAACACAAATCTTGATGGGACTGATTAGCAAGGGCAGCAGTCCCACCAACGTTTGTACTTAGATTGGTTAGGATGTCATGATTATTTGTTTCTTCAATAATTTATTATACCTCTTTATGCAAGGGTTAACAGAATTGAATGGGGCTGATTAGCAAGGGCGGCAGTCCCACCCCCTTTTTTCTGTACTTGCATTTCAGAAGGGATATGAGGTGCTGATTAGCAAGGGCAGCAGTACCTCATCTCCCTGCAATGTATGTAATTTTCGTTTGTTTTCTTGTCTTTAAATAGCACCTTGAACTGATTTGCAAGGGCAGCAGTTCACATTCTCTAGTCTTTTAGAACTATGTGTTGCCATGTAATTCGTGGGCTGCATTTCCCTTGGGTGGGGCGGCAGCATGACCGGCGTCATGCTGCTTTGGCGTTGTTTGTCAGCCCTCACCTTTACTGGGCAAGCTATTTTTCCCAGATTCAAATATTTTGGGCAATAATTGATTCAGTTTTGATTACTGATTAAACCGGCTTTGGGCCTTTGCCCTCAGCCATTTTTACTCCAGATCAATGTGTTTGTGTGATTTTTATGTGCGCAGTAAACGAGCCCAGGAGATGCAGCCCAGTATTTTAGTTACTTAGCAAGCTGGATAGGGGGGAAAAAGCATAAACTTCGTTTATGTGTTACAACTGTCTATAAAGCTGGAGAAAGACCCTTTAAACTATGTTATCTGAATACACGGTCTTTACATTAGCATTTTGATGACATATACAGAGACTTCAATTATACCAGCACTGATGTAAATGTTTTTGCTGAAACACGAATTTGTACTTTAGACACAAATGATATGTATAACATAAATGGCTATAGTCTATTTAGAAATGATGGCACATCAACTGCCAACAATATAAGACCATATGGAGGTACAGCAGTTTATAGTCAAATAGATTATTACCCTGGCTATCCCTACTGCAGCAATGGTACTGGTATTGAAATAACTGTAATGCGATTTTTGAACCTTCCACATATTAGTATCAGAGGACTTTATAGGTCACCAAGAGTACCAGTGATGCAATTATGCCAAGAATTGAGAAGTTTCTGATAAACTGTCAACTCGTGACAATATATTTATCGGTGACTTTAATATTAACTGGTTTAATGAAACACAAAGAGCACCCCTTCAACATCTGTTTGCAAGAAATAATTACAGACAACTTGTATCCTGTTCAACTACTGATAACAACACTTGTATAGACCATATATATACTAATCTACTAGAAACACAAATTGATTTCCTTATTTTAGAGACATACTTTTCTAATCACAAAGGTATCTGTGCATTGGTCAATAGTTTTTAAACAAACAACTTGCAAGCATTCGCAAGCATAATTAAGATGAGAATCCTTTATTGTTTATTATTGCTTATGCTAACAGGTAACAATAATTACATTTTCAGAAGTTTTTACTGATTCTTTAGCCAATGCCAAAAATATGTGGTCTTAATCCAGAATTTCAGTTTATAGTGGGAAATTGCTGCATTAATATTGTTTCCAACTTGTAAATTCACAATATTGCTTTTACAGTTTACTTGGTGCAATCAACTCACACAATGGATAAAGCACCTACTGATAACTCCAGGTAAGTAAAAACATCTTTTGATTTTCTGTTTTTCTCAAATCAGAATTTTTCCTACGTGTATTTAAAATTAAATGGCTTAATTAAGATCCAAATGATCCTTATTTCCCCAAGCAAGAAAGCAAGCAATTGAGGAGAAGGTAAGCGCAGTTAAATGTCACCTTTAAAATGACGCTTGAAGATATTAATAAATTTAAAACATGTTCAACCACACCAAAAATGATAATTCAGAGCCATTTTTCCATTTTAATGTTTGTTGATTTGTTTTTTTTCTTTTATGTAAAAACCATAGTAATTTACCTCCTACATTGCACACACTATCAGTCCTCTCCTTGGCTAAGAACCTAATGTGAACTCTGGAAATCAGTGCAACTTTCAAATTACTCAATAATCTGCTGGAGGATTGTTCACTAATCTGTAGGTTGTGCACACAAAGCATGATTTCCAAACAATTGCCAGCTTTATAAACATTTGCAATGCCACTGACATGTCTAGGTTTTACCCTCTAATATAAACGTTATATTTTGCAGATTCATCTCTTGAGGGCTATGTACATTTAATAAGTCCCATACAATCTTCCAGCAAAACAAAGACAAAGTACTTCAACTTCAAACTACAAACAGCAGAAACTGATAGTGTTCGCCTGGTATGTTATTCACCTGAAAAAAGAGTCAACCTTCAACAGGCTTTTCAAAACAAATCCCCTGTTAAAATTCACGGTGTAAAACGAAGCAAAACAAAGGAAGATGAATATTCCATTGCCAAGGCAGCCAAGATTGCTCCTTCTGATGTGGAATTTCCATACAACAAAGCAGTTGCTAGCAAGTCTCTACAGTTGAAGATTGTCTCTCTGCCAGTCTATAGGACAAAGTTGACATTAAGATGAAAGTTGTTACTAAATCAGAAAACAAGCAACCAGTTGTACACAGAGAAAAAACAAAGTACAGGGTAGAATGCCTCGTTGCACATCACACAGAATCAATCAAACTTATTTTATGGGAAGATGCAATTGAAAAAATACACAGTAGCAAAAGTTACCACTTTCAAAACCTAACGATCCGCATATTCGATGATAACAAGTATCTCAATACCAATGTGTTAACAGTGATAGACGAAATTGATGACATACATGACATTAATTTGTCATCACCTTCCATGGAAGACAACCTCGTCACAGCAAAGTGTGTTGGAATCGATATCAAAAAAGCTCCTCATGTCTTGTTTGTAACAGCTCCTTAGATACTCAGGAAACAACTGAAGAAACCATAACTTGCCCAAACTGTAACATAACAACCTTGGCAAGTTTATGCAAAACCAAACTGGTCTGTCAAATACTTCTTCAAACTGCAGACAACATTTCAAGCTTCACATGCTTCAATGATGCACTTCAGAGTTTCCTGAAGTCCATAAACTGCCAAACAGCTCTATCAGACATAGAAATTAATGAGCTCAAGAAATTGTTGACGACTGCAGGCCCACAGCAAATGATAGTAAGCAAGTCACAACGACTAATATCACAGTTTCTGATGCCAAAATGAACGTGTACTAGACATTGTAAACTAGTTGACAATGGTTGACATTTAATTCAGTGACATTCAACATGTTACATGTGCATCAACTGGTGAACACCTCTATTACAAAGAGACATTAGTCCACTCAAGAAATTATTACTTTGGTTGTTGAGTTTGTTACTAGCGATCCTATATTAAATATTGTTATTCAGTTTACATTTAATTCAATGACATTCAATGTTACTGTTCTCATGCAAGTGCGTCAACTGACAGAGTCCTCTATTACTCAGAGACAGTGGTATGCTCAAGAAACTGTTGCATTGGTTGTTCAGTTTCTGTAAATATTGATAATGCGCTAGATATTGTTAATATCAGTTTACATTTAATTCAGTGACATTCAACATATTAAATGTTACTGTCCTAACACGCCTTAACTGGCTACCACCTCTGCGAGATATCCAAATTATTGCTTTGGTGGTTCAGATTAATTTTACGAAAATGAATCATATTGAGTTAACATTTAATTCATCACAAGAACATCAACTGGCAAACATCTCTATTACACAGAAAACTTGGTATGCTCAAGAAATAATTGCTTTGCTTGCCAATATTGATTATATAGTACACAATGTTATTCAGTTGACATCTCAGGGTTGTTATATATTGTTAAAGTGTCAGATGTACAAAACTATTTTCAACTTTGTCCATTTTTGTCCCACTAAAATTACTTAGAATAGGTGTTTATTAATTTTTGGAGTGTTTTTTAATTTCCGGAGTGAAAATTTTACGATTATTTGGCTCAAAAGTCCTTAAAGTAAGACTATTAATCGCAAATGGCATTTCTAGCGATTAATAGTCTGAAAGCGTCTTGTAAATGCATGACTTTCAAACTTGCATGACCTTTGCGTTACAGTTGGCCTTTGTGCCATTTGATTCCTTTAGATAGTCTCATTATTCACTGTTCATGTTTGGCGTGCATACAAAGTTAATTTATAAAGTGTGATTTCAAGCCACCGGCGTATAGGGACTGATATGTAAGTTGTTTTCGTTTGTTTTGCTGTTTATCTCGTTTCGAGCAAGCTCTTTCGTCTTTATTTGTATATATATATCTTGTGTTTGCCGTAGCGCTTGGTTCATTTATTAGTTCCTTTATTACGTTAGATTCATTTACGCTGTTAAGTCGCCACGTGTTTAATTGAATACAATCTATTATATATGTCCCTTTTTTAATTCGCTTACAGTTTACAAGATTGATTAAAGTTATGTCCCTGTAACATATCCCCTGGATTTGGTTCGCATTTTTCTCCGGTCGCGATTTTCTTGGCATTTCATCGAGCCTTGATGTTCGTTTGCCGCAACAGTAAAATATCACCCATTGACGCCTTTGGCTGGAATTAAAATTAGTTGAGGATGAGCGATAGTGGTATTCAATCCCCTCGAGCTATAGTTCGAAAGATTCTCTCGTTGGAGAAGGAACAAGCAGAAGTTGAAATTCCGAATGAACTATGCGATTTAAGAGATCTTAGTTTAGACGAAGCCAATAGTCCTCGTGGCAGGAAACACGATCCTCCAAATTTGAGAGAACCGCACGAGCGGACTTTGACTGACAAAGGCAGAGCCTATCAATTGGAAGTTCGCGCTTTAAAGAAACAAGAAGTGGAAAACAAATTGCGCAAACATGTTGGAAGAATTTACTCATTGCTCGACTCCCACCCGTTTGGTGGCCGAGAACTGCCAATAGAAAAATCCGCATTTTTGAAAGAAAATTGTTTTCTTTTTTATTTTGATTTACATTTTTTTTTATTTTTCAATTTATTTTTTTATTTTTAAAATAGAGTGAAAGTAAAATCAATTGAAATAAAAATAAAATAAAATAAAACCAAAGTAAAATAAAATAAAACCAAAGTAAAATAAAATAAAACCAAAGTAAAATAAAATAAAACCAAAGTAAAATAAAATAAAACCAAAGTAAAATAAAATAAAACCAAAGTAAAATAAAATGAAATTATTCGACCCAGCCGAGAGCTGCCACTACCAGCATGCATTGCGTGCGTTACTGTCACACGCTTGAGTTCATCATGGCCGATGCATGGAAGAGGCTCAATGAAAAAGTTAAAGCAAAGCGTACCAAAAAAAACCAGCCCAAGGACCATCGAAGGAAAGATGAACTGACAGTTCAACATTTGTCAGCAGAAGTTTCTGGAAAGGCCCAAAAGTATACAAGGATTGGGCCAAGAGAGTTTGTTCCCTTCGACGAAACGGAGGAATTGACCATTGGTAATATCAAGAGCACTTGTGAGAGGCATTTTCTACAAAAAATCGGAAAGAATCTCGTATGTGATATCTCAGCAGGAGAACAGGGCCCATCGTGCAAGACTCTTGCCCAAATACCGGACTTAAAGGTTGTATACGTCCACTTCATTCCAGATCCAGCTGATGAAGGCGATGTCAACAGCACCCAGAATTCCACGAGAAAGAGGAAGGACGCAACTGGAGAGTCCTCAACTTATACCGAATTTAATCCTCCGCCGTCAAAATCAAGGTCAAGCCCCAGTAAACTTATGCATTCAAGACAGAAATTACCCACACAAGCAGCGGGCACAAAAAGTACATATTACCCTCGAAGTTTATCAATTTCTGACATGATCAAACTTGGCAAAATCAACACAAATACCGCCACTACTATTGTGAGAATTTTCAGATTCGATATGGAAGTTTTGTCGTGGTCCAAAGTTCCAACCACTGTCGAGTTCTATGAGGATAAAGAGGCAATCGGAACCGGCGGATTCCGTAAAGCATTCAAAGCAACATCCAAACATCCAGAATTTGTTGCGACAACGTGGGTGATAAAGCACTATCTACCAAGTGCTTTAAAGTGCATCTCGGATACCGGTCAAACTATCAAGCAACACAACCGCAAGGTTGTTCAGATGCATCTCCTAGCTAGGAATTTTGCTTCGCAACTTGAGGCAGAAATCAAGGAGGAAAGCGAGGTTTTTGGAACTGCATTTAGATATAGAAAGATCTTTCATGGAGAAACAGACAAGGGGGAGTATGTTACAGTCGAAGAATTTATCCCTGGCCAGTTTAAGAAGTTCGTAAACAACACTGGCCAAACCTGTGTCGATCCTACAGATGAGATGGCCCAGAAGGCAGAGTGTTTGACACACTTCACGTATGAGAGATCAAAGAAAAAACTTATGCTAGTTGACATCCAGGGAAGTGGATATGACTTATTTGACCCAGAAATTGCTTCTACAGATTTACTGGACGAGGGTGACAAGCAATACCTGTATTGTACTGGAAATCTTTCCAAAGTAGCAATTTCAACATTTGTGAAAGAGCACACTTGTAGTTTGTTCTGTAACTTGCTTGGCCTACCAGCAATAGAAAATTAAGGGGCAACTCAAGCTGCTATAAAATTGTGAACATTGAGACATTGTTGACAAAACTTGATACACTGTTTACAAAATAGCTAGTTCACATAAAATCCCATGGTTACATATGATAATTTACGGGGCAGTCATAATTTGTTTCCAGGGGTGGGCTGCAGGATTGTGATATTAACCAACCTTGTTGTTGCTGAATTCACCCTCAAGCAGATATGTTTTCATGTACCCCAATTTAGGACACCAAAAAACCTGCTCTTGTTAATGTTTCTCCTCAACCCACCATGTGAGGATTGATGGTTAAAATTTGTATTATTTGTATTAGTAGGGTGCATAGTTTTTCTTGTTTCTGCTGCCCTTTCGATGTTACTGTTATTGCCATCAGTGTTATTGTTCGTTCCAGTTTATTTCCACAAAGGTTATGGATATCATGTTCAGATACATTATCATTCGAATTAAAGATAGTTGTGGGTCCCTTAATCTGCAATATTATTATGCATTAAAAATAATTAAATAACTACAGTGGTGATAATTACACTGTTTATTTCTTTTTTTCTATTAGTGCCAGCATTGATTGTTAATATGTTGTTCCTGTTCACTTCAATTACACTTAATAAAGTTTTGACTTTTCTACTGTATTGCATGTTACACCCCTTTTGATGCAATTACCTTGGGCAGTTCGCACATACAGTGTTCAGAAATGTTCAGTTTAATTCAATGATTAAAGTACAGTTCATTGGCAGATGAATTTGTTGTTTATGGCTGCACAAAGTTCATAGTAACAAAATGGAGGATGTGGGAGAAAACATGCTGCTTTCACTATAAAAATAGAGTCAAGGACATAACACCATGGATAAACAGTGGAGTTATTACAAAGAAAAATTTCTCTTTAGGAAAAGAAATGCTTCCTTGCAATCAGCAGGTTTCAAATGGTCAGTGTCAATGATTCGTTCACACTGCTCTGAACTCAGGGGCGAGAAAGTCATCATCAACAGTAAGGATGCCTGACTGGACAGCAGCTTCTTTTAGTTGATCATCAGTCACTTGAAGACCTGCACATTGCCAATAGAAAACAATGTTAGCATTCATCATCTAGTGTGACTGGCAGTGTCAGCACCACATTAGGTTTTTATAGATATGCGACTTTCAGGCACAAAGATTTTAGCAACAAATAATTTCCTTCTGGGCAATAAAATTATGCCTTGAAATTTCTACAAATAAATTATCATTGGTTGATTGTTGAAGCATTATAACTATGCCATAGTTCACTTTGAATAAAACAGAAATATCCCAAAACCAGTTTTGACAAAACCTTATAATTTTTTTACCGCATTCTTCAAGCCCATATTTCTGAGGAAAACTGTAAATATGGTTTGGGACCCCATCTGGTAAAATTGTGTCCTTCTGGGCTCTGATCCTGTGGGAATTCCACACCATCTCCTTGAATGTATCTAGCTCTCTCTGAACCACAGGAACCATAATAAAAGAAAGAAGCTTCCTATGTAGGAAAACAAAATAAGCAAAGGTAACAAACACCTTGGTGTATAGGTAGTTTCAATTACAATATATAAGCCAGCAAGTTTTTTTTTTGTTTTTTTTTTTGGGGGGGTTCCCCTAACAAAAATTTTTCCTGGGCCCCCTCAACCATATCTATTTGACTCGAGTATATATAAGCTTTAGGGGGAGGGGATGTGTTATTGCATTCACACAGAAATTAATTAATTTGCTATAAAAAATGTATGTATATTAACTTTAGGCAAAATAATGTTTATGTTGATTGAGCTTTCAATCACCCACGTGCCATGCCCTAGCAAAACTGCAACATATTCTAAAACAATAACTCAATGTCACTTTTGGAGTTTAAAAACAAACCTTGAAATGAATAGCCTGTGTATGTGTGCTTGTGGGTGGAGGTGGAGGGGGGAGACTTGCCCATTCTCACCTGTCAATATCATCATGTGGGTCATAATGCCCTTGATCTTTAAGCCATCTTAACTGACTTTTGAAAAATTTTTCCATTCTTTCGTGTAATTCTTTCCACCATCTTTCGATCTAGAGGAAAACGTTTTTTTAAATGACATTTTGTGAAATGTGCATTTGCCGGAAATCAGATGATAGGGTGGATTAAAATATTACTTGTTACTGAGGGAATGATGAAATAACAAACAACAATAATACTTTTCCTGGCACTCAAATAAAGTCACCGAAAGACTCATTGACTAATTTGGCACACTCACATAATATAATTAGACAGCACTTGAGAGATGAGCTTACTTACTTGGTTTGAAGTTGATGGACCATACAAAATTGTGTCTGCAGGATCCACAACGTCAGTGTGATTTCTACGAAGAAAGGCATGAATTGTGGCCATGGTGCCTGTTTCTGTACCTTTGTCAATTCTGATCATCGCAGGAATTACCTTGGTCTCCATTATATGCTCCAAGTACCAACGACCAATCAATTGCGGGTCACAGTTCTTGTTCCAAACTCGCAACCATAGCAGCTTTCTGCTGGCTGTATCTAAGCAGCCATAAATAGCAATCGGAAATGTGGAATTTTGGAAACCCATTAATTTATCATGACCGTCCAGGGAGTGGACCCAGTTTGGTCCTTTCGAAGAGAAGTTTCCTTTCTTTCGCCTTGCCTTCTTAGCTCCAACGCCTCCGCGAGCAGCAAGTCCATCGCGGTCAAGATCAGACATCACATCGTAAACTTGATCTCGCGTAACTAACAAGTCATATTTTTGTCTTATTTTCTTGTGCATGCTTCTATATCCCAATAGCTTTCCTGGTCCTTCCAATTCCTTTTTAACAGCCTCTTTAACATCTTCAACCGAAACAGTGTCATCCCTGTAATAAACTTCGAAATGGCGTAAACGTCTGTCGAGTGTTCGGATACTCCAGGTGTATTGAGGAAAGTCTCTCCGTAAAAAATCGATCGCTTCTTCGCGTTTGAGGCCTTGTTTGACATACTTCTGCAGTGCACCTTTAAGGAGATCGTCTTCTTTCCACGATGAAACCCTGCTATCCGCCATTTTCAAGAACAGCCCGGGAGAACAGTCCCTATATTCCCGCCATTTTGGATCTTTACGATGCACGCAATGCATGCTGGTAGTGGCAGCTCTCGGCTGGGTCGAATAATTTCATTTTATTTTACTTTGGTTTTATTTTATTTTACTTTGGTTTTATTTTATTTTACTTTGGTTTTATTTTATTTTACTTTGGTTTTATTTTATTTTACTTTGGTTTTATTTTATTTTATTTTTATTTCAATTGATTTTACTTTCACTCTATTTTAAAAATAAAAAAATTAATTGAAAAATAAAAAAAAATGTAAATCAAAATAAAAAAGAAAACAATTTTCTTTCAAAAATGCAGATTTTTCTATTGGCAGTTCTCGGCCATCATACACCCGGGTACCGAAGAATTAGAAAAGGAAAGACAAATCCTGGATGTAATTAAAGAGGAACTTAACCAGGCATACCGATCGTATGACGAGTTACTTGATAATGAAAGCGCTAAAGGTGCCGCTTACCGATATTTCGATTTGTGCGATCGGGAGTTTATCGAATGTTGAGTGCGACTATCTGAAATCCTTCGTTCAGTCAAACAACGAGAGCATGAAAAATTCGAATCTAATAGGCAAGAAACTGAATCAAGCCGTTCTGGAAGATCAAGGGTTTCAGGTTCTTCAAGATCTTCTAGGTCGTCGGTCATGTCAAAGAGAGTAGAGGTGGCAACTAGAGCAGTGAAGCTAAAGGTCGAAATGAAGTACCTGGATCAGGAAACCAATTTAAGAAGAATTCAGCTGGAAAGGGAGATCGCCTTAGCAGATGCTGAAGAGGAAGCTATCAAATTGGTTATGAACGAAGAAGTGAAAAATGGCATAGTTCGCGAAGATATGAGATCTGATGAGAGATTCAAACGAAATTTCCGCGAAGCTAAATTCGATGTCGGAAAAACTGTCATAAAACACGAACCTTCATTGTTGAGACCGGAAGCACTTCCTTTCCCGCTGTTGACGCCAGCAATAAGACCAGCCGCTAGTCGAGTAAACAATTTCGCCCCAGAGCAAGACGAGCCAACAACACATCAAGAAGCGACTCTTAAACAAATAGTCAGTCTCCAAGCGAAACAAGCAGAATTAAGCGCTCTATTGTCAACCAGCAAAGTGCCAGTACGCTTCCTTCTCAAGAACTGCCTGTCTTTAAAGGAAGTTATTTCGATTACCCGACATTCATAACTGCCCTCAATGCCATGATAGAGAAGAAAGTTGGGTCAGAAAAGGATAAACTGTATTTTTTGAGCTAGTATACTTCCGGCAAAGCCCACGAAGTCGTGAAAGGTTTCTTGACCTGGGATTCTGACCAAGGTTATGAAGAAGCTCGTAAGCTCTTGGCTCAGCGCTTCGGCAACCCATTTCGAGTAGCGGAAGCTTATAAGGCTTGCGAAATTGGCTGCAGATTGTCGAAGGAGATAGCTCCGGTCTTCAAGATCTCTCTGATTTTCTTGTCCGTTGTGAAGGAGCCATGCAGTCCATGAAGTACATGGAAGATCTAAATTCAACAAGGTTACTACAGGAAGTAAGCACAAAACTACCCTTCAAGTCAGGCTCCAGGTGGTGTCACCAAGCACGTGATGTCCTGAAGAAAACGGAGAGAACGGTATCCTTCCACGATCTAGTAGAATTTGTCAGAGAAGAAGCAGATCTCGCAAATGATCCGGTTTTTTCTCCCGAAGCGTTGAAAAGTAAAAAAAACAAGGTGCCTGACAGAAGCCGAATAATGAGAAGTCAGGGAGCAAACAGTTTTGCATCATTTTCCTCTTGTACCCCGCCTAGGGAGAGCAGAGGAAGGCCTAATGCAGAGCAAGAGCCGAAACAGCAAAGTTCGTGCGTCTTCTGCGGCGGTAACCACCCACCTCACAAGTGTGGAGAACTAACAAGGAAGAGCATTGACGAGTGCCCGGCACTGGTTAGATTGAAAGGCCTCTACTTTGGATGCCTGAAAAGGGGTCATCAATCGAAGAACTGTCGAGCTAGGTTAAATTGCGAGAAATGCGGTAGGCAGCATCCGACTCCACTTCATGATCCTACGTATAAAGGAGGATCTTGCAACCAGAATACTCCTGAATCATATCAGCCCGATCCGGTCCAAAGTCATCAAGTAAGTGCAGAGGTCGCGAACGACGACAGTACAATCTCCAACCCCAATGTCGGTGTGTGTAGCACTGCGAGTGGGCAAGGCATTGTAACAAACTCTTTAATTATCCCAGTCTATGTGTTTTGTAAGAGTCACCCCGAACTTAAAGTCAAGGTTTATGCATTATTGGATGACGCTAGTGACACGACGTTTATCAAAACGGACGTGAAAGATAAGCTTGGAATCACTGGAGTTAATTCAAAACTTATCCTCAGTACCATGCTTGGAATTGAAGAAATCAACGTTTGCAGAGTGGAGCTCAAGTCGAGCTACCCAGGACATACTCCAGAGACCAGATACCATCAAGAAGAGACCAGATTCCTAGTCCTGAAGCTGCAGCTGTGTGGCCACATCTCCAAAAGATCAAAGACAAGATTATGCCATATCAAGAAAGTTTGGAAATCGGATTGCTAATTGGCTGCAACTGTCCAAAGGCGATCAAGCCTAAAGAAGTTATTTTGGGTAAGGGAGAAGACCCTTATGCCGTCCGCACTCTCCTAGGATGGGGAATAATTGGTCCCATCAGTCCGTTAGAAGGTATCCAGCCGAACTGTGGAGAACATTTAGTGTCATCTGGTAATCGAATCCTTGTGTGTGAAGTTGATACTGGCCGCTGTAGCAACTGCAGCTTCGTTCTCAATTCCCAAACTAAAGAAGAAATAAATCCTTTCGCAGTGACACGAATGTTCGAACGGGACTTCTCAGAGAGTTCTTTTCCTGGATCGGGGCTTTCAAAAGAAGACAGAAGATTCCTCACCATCGCCAGGGAAGGAATTACCCAACTAGAAAATGGCCACTATGAACTGCCCCTGCCCCTGAAGAATCCGAATGTTGTTCTTCCTAACAATCGTGAGTCGCTTGTTACAACTCAAAGGAAGATTCATGGCCGACAGAAGATACCGTGACGACTATGTGACCTTCATGGAGAATATGATAGAGAAGGGTTTTGCCGAAAAGGTGAAAAAAAGCACCTCATCATCGTCATATACGGAACAACGAAACGTCTGGTATATCCCACACCACGGAGTATACCATCCGAAGAAACCAACTAAGATTCGCGTTGTTTTCGACTGTGCCGCAGAGTTCAAGGGAGAGTCTCTGAATAAACACCTGTTACAAGGCCCGGACCTAACGAACACTCTTACAGGTGTCCTAAACAGGTTCCGTCAAGAGCAGGTGGGGATAATGTGTGACATTCAGTCCATGTTCTATCAAGTGTACGTTGCCGAAGAGTACCGGGATCTACTGCGCTTCCTGTGGTGGGAAAATGGAGACTTCTCGAAGGATCCAATTGAGTACCGAATGACTGTGCACCTTTTCGGTGCAACCTCGTCTCCTGGTTGCACCAATTTCGCTTTGAAGAAGACTGTGCAAGATAACAAACGCGAATTGGGATCAGCTGCTGCTGACTTTCTGCGGAACAACTTCTATGTGGATGATGGATTAAAGTCCTGTGCCACGATTGAGGAGGCAAACCATTTTATCAAGTTGGTTAAAGAAATGTGCAGAAGAGGAGGTTCCAACCTGCAGAAGTTCGTTTCCAACAAGGTCATAAAGAACATCCCAGTAATTGACAGTGCTGATGACCTCAAGAGCATAAACCTCGATCTAAACAAGTTACCCATGGAACGAGCACTCGGTGCTCAGTGGTGTATTCAGTAAGACACTTTCCAATTTCGTATAGCATTGAAAGACTGTCCGTGTACAAGAAGGGGAATCCTCTCCACCGTCAGTTCTATTTTTGATCCACTTGGTTTTATTGCACCAGTGCTATTAGAAGGGAAGAGTATTCTACAAGATTTGTGCCAAAATGGTGTGGATTGGGACCACCCAATAATACCTGAGGGGATCAGAGCAAGATGGGAAAGATGGAGGACCGAGCTTCATGTTCTTCAGCACTTTTCGATTCCCAGATGCTTTAAGCCTGATGACTTCGGAACAGTAGTAAAGAAAGAGCTGCACCATTTCTCTGACACCAGCACTAAGGGTTATGGTCAATGTAGCTATCTGAGGCTTCAAGATGATTCTGGCAGAATCCATTGTGCCTTTGTAGCTGGCAAGTCGCGAGTGACCCCCCTCAAGCCTGTCATAATTCCACGCCTTGAAATACAATCATCAAGAGTAATTAGCGCCCAATATGGCGGCCATGTTACGAAAGGCGGCACTTTTTATTGCCTTTCTCGCTGGGGCTTTCGAACTAACTCGAAATACCCCATTCTTCTACAATTTAAGAGGCTATTCAGCGCATAGTAGGGTTAAAGTTAGCCATGTTCTATCGCACAAGCTACGAAACTCAAGCTTCTCATCTTGCCCGGTTAGCAGTTGGACTAAGCACAGATATCTCAGCCTTTTTCGTCCCTTTGCAGTGGATCTAACTGTGGCAATGGATGTCGAAATCAATCCTGGCCCCAATACCGCTACTTTACAATGTCAGGGCCTCGAGAGTCAAAATCAAGCAACAGTTCCACAGCTTTCTGGAACTTTTGAACATGTTGTTGGCAACTTACGTTATGTTGATTATGCTAATTTTACCCGCGACATCTTGACCCCTCACTACGTTTATTCCAGAGATGAGCTGTACCGGTTACGTCCAAATAGAACATCTACACCACAGTTTCACCCTACCTTAAACCACATGCACAGAAGAATGGCTTATCGGGGTTGTAGAGCTGGCAAGTGGGTCAAGGAAAAGCAGAATAACTCACTCTCAAATATTCCTACTGTTGTTTCGCGTCGTCCGTCACGCAACGTCAACAAGTGTTACACAACGATGCGAAATAAATCGACAAATCTATCCCGATCGCTCATTTCAGTGACAATTGAAAAGACTCCTACTGCTCCTAAAGTTGTTCCAAAATGCATGGTTATAAATGCTCGCTCTCTAGTGAAAGCTGATGCTGCCCCAGCTTGTACGCTGAACTGAGCAGTAATAATATTGATCTTTGTTTTGTCTCGGAATCTTGGCTAAACAAGAAAATCCTGTCCCACTTGATCTGCCCCGACGGCTATGTGATGGTTAGAAAAGACCGGAATGGAATACGTGCTGGTGGAGGGGTTGCTGTCATCTGTAGGAAGGACTGGAAAATAAAAGCAATCAACGCCAATGGACAGTTTGAGTTTGAGACTCTTTGGTGCAAAATAACAACTCCAAATTCCGAGTTTTTCGCTGCCAGTGTTTACCATCCGCCTGACCCCATCTACAAACCAGCTGATCTACTGAATTTCCTATCTCAAACCTGTGATCAAATTCTGCACGATGATCCGAACGCCAAGATCGTAATTGTAGGTGACATAAATCAGCTGCAAATAAAAGATCTTATGCAACAACATGGTCTGCAGCAAATGGTTAAAGTACCTACTAGGCGGGACAAAATACTTGATGTTTTGCTGACTAACTGTCCACTACTTTGGAAACCCGGTAAGGTGCACAAGGGTCTGGTGAGATCTGATCATTTGGCTGTCACCGTACTACCCTCTATCCCGGCTAAACCTCAATGGAAATATGTTAGTTTCCGTGATACTAGAGACCACCGCAAAATTGCTATGGAGACTAAGCTTAGTGCTTTCGATTAGAATTCTATCAACAACCTAGATAATCCTGAAGAAAGCGTGAAATTACTAAATACAAGCCTATGGTCGATGTGCAATGAGAGTTTTCCACTCGTCCGGGTTAGAGTATCGTCCAGGGACCCACCTTACATGTCCCCCCTGGTAAAGCATCTCTGCAAAGTCAGAAACAAAACAGCGCATTGGGGTAACCAAGCAGAGAACATTATGCGTCAAGAGAAAATCAACGCACTCATTTGCACAAACCAAGTAAACGCTGTGAACAACAAGCGATTAAAACATAAGCAATGCTCTAAAGGATGGTGGGACACAGCCAACAGAATAACTGGCAGAAAGACACAAGGCACCCTTGTCAGCTCGGTGATTTCACCTGACGTCATCAACACATATTTCCAGACCATCAACACTGATGACGAATATGACGCTCCAACGTGTCTGCAAATACCAGCAGGAACCCCTCTGCCGACTGTGAACGAATGTGATGTACCGCATCGGGGCCTGATGAGTTTCCCTATTGGCTTTGGCACGATTATTCTCACCATCTTGCACCTGTGATCACCAAAATTTTCAACTGCTCACTTAGGCATCAAACCGTTCCATCTCTGTGGAAACTAGCAAACGTCTCGCCCATCCCTGTGGAATCTCCTCTGACTGAATGAAATCAGCTGAGACCAATCTCATTAACCAACATCATAATGAGAATTTTTGAGCGTCTCGTTTGCAAACAAGAAGTATCTCCCATCCTCAAGTCAGCGATTGGACCTGACCAATTCGCATATAAGAAGGGACACAACACAACTATGGCTCTTATTAAGTGCCAACATTTTTGGCTTGAGCGACTAGACCGAGATGCGGCTTTTGTAAGAGCCTTCTCATTCGACTTCAGTAAGGCTTTTGATTCAGTCTCCCATCGCATTCTATTCAGCAAGTTGGCGTCGTATGACATCAATCCATACATTAATAACTGGATAATAAGCTTCCTGTGTGATCGCCGACAGAGAGTAGTGGTTGATGGAGTGGTTACCAGTTTTCTCAACATCAACAGAGGGGTTCCCCAGGGAACTGTGCTTGGACCCTTATTGTTCTCTATCATGGTGAATGATATTAAACCTAATCTTACAGGTTCATCACATTATGAAGTAGAAAATATCAAACGTTGGGCGGATAAAAACCTGATGACACTAAACATGAAGAAGACCTTTGAGATGGTTGTTAAAGGTAAAACCACAATGCCCCTTCCAGAGCCTGTGGGCGGAATAACTAGAAAGAGCGAACTAAAGCTGCTAGGAGTTACTGTAAACGAAGATCCATGTAACTGGGACGTTCAATTTGAAAACATGCTTAGCAAAGCAAGTTCTAGACTGTACATCCTCAGAGTCTGCAAATACTACGGCTTCTCACTACAAGAACTTACACTGCTGTTTGACAGTGTAATTATGTCACTTTTCACTTACACAATTGAGGTGTGGGCTTCTGCCCACTACAGTAAATATCTCTCTCATATTGACAAGTTTTGTAAGAGAGCTTTACGTTATGGCTACACTAGCAAATATACTCCCATAATGGATGTAATTAGAATGAAAGACAGGTTTCTTTGGGACAAGATAACCTCTGACAGCACAAATCCATTACATGAACTTTTACCAGCTCAGACAGCTAGGAGCCTCAGGAAAAGAGGACATAATTACATCCTGCCTCCAGTCAGAACCGAACGCTTTAAACGTTGCTTTTTCAATAGATGTCTTTTCGAATTTGTGTAGTTACTTAGTCTTGTATATACATAATAGATAGATATATGTAGGAAATTGTCCAGACGTTTTGTTTCTGGACGTGTTTCTTTTTAATAAAGATCTTTATTATTATTATTATTATTATTATTATTATTATTATTATTATTATTATTATTACAAGCCGCGGTGACTTCTGTGAAGATAAGCCAACAGATACGTCAGGAGCTAAGCCTTGGTGACGTCCAAGAGTTCTTCTGGTCTGACAGCAAGGTTGTTTTGGCCTACATCGCCGATGAAAGTTGTAAATTCCATGTTTTCGTTGCCAATCGAGTTCAGCTCATTCAAGACTCGACTTCAGTGGATCAGTGGAAATATGTTGAAACTAAGCTAAACCCGGCAGATGACGCCTCCCACGGTCTCAGTCCAAATCCTCTTGTTACTTCAAAGTGGCCTACAGAACCTGCATTCTTATGGCAGAAGGAGAA